TGCCATTACCCCAGAGGCATACCGGCAGCGGTTCAGAGAAAGCCGAAAGACAGAGACTAGGGCTGGCAAAGGATGGGTGCAAGCCGCACAAGCAACCACAGTGGAGGATATGCTACAATTACTGCTACTGGAGCAATTCTTCCAGGGGTTAACCCTGGATTTACAAAACTGGCTGAGGGATTGGAAACCACGCACCTTAACCGATGCAGCCAGGCTGGCAGACGAGTACCAAGATGCCAGAAGGGCACAGCGGGAACAGTCACGGCCCACCTCGGGAGCTGCTACCACACCTTCCACTGTTACCTCCACCCCATCACTGCGTCCTGGGGGTGGGAACTACCAAACCCCTCCACGGTACAACAATGCCCGATCTTTCATCAGGTGTCACACATGTAACCAGCAGGGCCACATACAGAGAGACTGTCCCAGGAACAAGAACCGCCCCACGTGGAATACTCCAACTACTTCCCCTGCAAACCGGGCAGCTATACACTGTTTCCAGAGTGAGCCCCGACAACCTTCCTTTTGGGCCGGGTCCAATGAAGAACCTTTGGGCACGCTCCACGAGGTTAACCCAATACAAGCGGCTTCCGACAACCGACAGGGTCACCGCCAAGGGCTGCACGTAGTGGGAAAACGCCTCCAGGGTCTGCGCGACTCTGGGGCCACCATAACTCTGGTGCGCAATCACCTAGTTCCCAAGAACCAGCTCACTGGAGAATATGTGGCAGTCCGGGTGGCAGGGGGAGCGATTTACAAAATTCCTACTGCTAAAGTACATTTGGATTGGGGAGCGGGGTCAGGGAATGTGGAAGTGGGCCTTATGCAGGATTTACCAGCTGATGTCATCCTGGGTAACGACTTGGGGGAGCTGACCTCCGCTTTTGTTTCTCAGCACCCCGCGCAGGAAGTGCTACCCGTTATAACACGGCAGCATGCTCGCACTACCGCATCTTCTGAACACTCTGAGGCTCAGGTAAGCAACAGTCATACACCCCCTTTCGTCCCCTGGGCTCCCCCATTAGAATTTGGTACTGAAGTAGTCACCGACCCATCCTTGCAGGTATATCGGGATAGGGTTACGCAGAATCAGGCAGGGTTGGAGGGGGAGAGATATGCTTGGGAGAAAGGATTACTGTATAGGTATGCAGAGAAGGTAGTAGCAGGATCCGTACCCATGACCCTCACACAATTAGTAGTTCCTAAAAAGTACAGGCAAGAGTTGCTACGTATTGCCCACGACATCCCTTTGTCAGGACATCTAGGCGTCAGTAGGACAAAACATCGTTTGACCCAAAACTTCTTTTGGCCAGGGGTCTCCAAAGATATCCGGCAGTATTGCCAAACTTGCGATACGTGCCAGAGAGTAGGGAAGAGAGGGGACCGATACAAGGCAAAAATGCACTCCCTCCCAATAATAGATGAGCCCTTTAGTAGGGTGGCAGTTGATATAATTGGACCCCTAGCAAAACCCAGTCCATCCAGGAAAAAGTATATCCTACCCGTAGTAGACTATGCTACCCGGTACCCAGAGGCAGTAGCCCTAACTAATATCCATGCAGAAACTATAGTGGATGCCCTGATCCGGATATTCTCCAGAATGGGGTTCCCCAAGGAGATTATCTCAGATCTGGGTACCCAATTCACAGCCGAAGTCACTCACCAGTTATGGAGAACATGTGGGGTGAAACCTATTGTAAATTCCGCGTACCACCCCCAGTCCAATGGGCTCTGTGAACGTTTCAACGGAACATTAAAGCAAATGCTCCGTATGTTCATGGATACCCAGAAGGACTGGGAAAGGTTTCTTCCCCATCTGCTCTTCGCTTACAGAGAGGTACCCCAGGAGTCCACAGAGTTCTCGCCATTCGAATTACTATTCGGAAGGAGAGTGCGGGGTCCTTTGGACCTCATTAGGGAACACTGGGAAGGAACTGTCACCAGTAATGGCACCCCTATCGTCCCATATGTGCTCGAGTTCAGGGAGTGCTTGGAGACCCTAATCCAGACGGTACGGTCCAATCTCCAGGCGGCCCAGCAACGACAACGCAGATGGTACGATAGGGGAGCCAGGGACCGCAGTTTTCAAATAGGGCAAAAGGTGTTAATCTTGAAGCCGGTCCAAAAGGACAAACTGCAGGCCTCCTGGCAGGGCCCTTATAAGGTGGTGGAACAGGTATGTGACACCACCTATATAATTGCCCCATGTACGGGAGCAGGCGGTAAACGCATGCTCCATGTTAACATGTTGAAGCCATATCACGAGCGGACCGAGGAAGTAACTGCCATATGTGCTTTGGCCGCCGAGGACCCAGACAACTTACCTCTACTGGACCTATTAGAAAAAGGAGGGCCAGACACAGAATTAGGGGAAGTACAGCTAGGAGACAGGCTGAGTACTAGAGAACAAGCTCAGATACTAGAGCTGATTAGAGAGAAAGGGGATACATTTTTCAATCAGCCCGGATATACCCCGCTGGCCACCCACAGGGTGGAAACCCCAGGGCAACACCCTCTTCGTCAAACCCCCTACCGCATACCAGAATCTGTAAAAGATCATATGCGGAAGGAGATTGATGAAATGTTACAGCTAGGAGTGATAGAACACTCGGATATCCCATGGGCCTCTCCGGTAGTGCTGGTGCCGAAGCGGAACGGAACCACCCGCTTCTGCGTAGACTACCAGAAACTTAATGATAAAACGATTTCCGATGCCTACCCTATGCCCCGAATCGATGAGCTCCTAGATAAAATGGCCAGGGGCCAGTACCTCACCACAATAGACTTGGGCAAAGGATACTGGCAGATCCCACTAGCCGAGGATGCCATCCCAAAGTCCGCATTCGTCACCCTGTTTGGGCTATACCAATTTAAGGTGATGCCATTCGGGATGAAGAATGCGCCGGCTACCTTTCAGCGGATGGTAGATCGGCTACTGGACAGATCCCAGGAGTATGCTTGCGCCTATTTGGATGATATATCAATATTCAGCAACTCCTGGGACGAACATTTAACTCATATAGGAGCCATCCTCGATCGCATCAGGGAGGCAGGTCTAACGTTAAAACCCAGCAAGTGCCATGTAGGGATGGCTGAAGTGCAGTACTTGGGCCACAGGATAGGCAGTGGGCAGCAAAAGCCAGAACCTGCTAAGATAGAGGCCGTAGCTAAGTGGCCGACCCCCCGCACGAAAACTCAGGTTTTAGCTTTTTTAGGGACCGCCGGTTATTACCGTAAATTTGTGCCCAATTATAGTGCCCTAGCGAAGCCCCTTACTGACCTCACCAAGAAGAACCTGCCCAAAGTAGTTACCTGGAGCCCAGAGTGTGAGAATGCATTCCAAGAACTGAAAACTACCCTAATTCCTGCACCTGTACTTGCCGCTCCCGATCCAACTAAACGCTTTCTCGTTCATCCAGACGCTTCTATGTTTGGATTGGGAGCAGTGCTGAGCCAGGTTGGGGCCGATGGCGGCGAACATCCAGTCGCTTACTTAAGTCAGAAACTGCTACCCAGGGAAGTAAGCTATGCCGCCATCGAGAAGGAATGCCTGGCGGTAGTGTGGGCCCTCAAGAAACTACAGCCCTACTTATATGGACAACAATTTGCCTTGCTCACAGATCACAACCCGTTGGTGTGGCTAAACCGGGTGTCCGGGGACAACGCTAGACTGCTAAGATGGAGCTTGGTGTTACAACCATTTGATTTCACCATCCAGTATCGTCCGGGGAAACAATGGTAACGCTGACAGGTTGTCCCGACAGACAGAACTAGAAAAATGATCTGTGAGCACTCTCCCGGACATCCCCAAGCCGATCCGTTGGGATCAGACTGTGTATGCCGGCTTGGTTCTGGGGGAGCATTGTGGCAAACCCTGCCACTTGAACTAATCATTTGAATGGGTGAATTTCACCAAGGGAATAAGGACACAAATGGACTTTCAGGTTATTTTAATGTTTTTATGCGAATGCCCTAAACTACCAAACGGGAGACCACCCCAGGGTGGTCGTGTGTTTCCAATTAGCCGAACGATACAATGTTGCGAAGGGAATTAAGTACCTGTATGTGTGGCCGCCATTTCGCCTACCGAACACGTGGCGACAGCCATCTTACACACGAACAGCGGTACTTGGTTGTCGAACGCCTGGAACTCAAACCGGGCATTCGACTAACCAAGCACCGCTAAGACCTCCAGCATGCTCCGACAGCACGAACCAAACACAAGAACGGCCCGGCGTTCGGTAGATAGATTCCCCTAAACGAGGGGATTCATACGAAGGCTTGCAATCGCATGGATGGCTAGGCTGTTCGGTATTTTTGCTTCACTAAAATAGACTGACCGCAGGGCCAGAATTCATGGAACTGTTTTCGGCTACTGAGTCCCTGCGGTCGGTCAAATCTTTAACTGTCTGTAACTCCCGAACCCCTGGTCCGATCTGGGTGAATTTCAAGTATGTTGCTCACAGATCAGACCTACCAGGGGACCCCTTATTTGTCCCTGTACCCACGGTATTTAGGGGACATCCAGAAAG